TTAATAATGTCCTTTTCAGCCTGAACAGGTGAATATTCACAGAGAAAAAACAAAGAGAAGTTTCCTCCAATTTTAATGTTTTCCCTAGCAACGAACCAGTGTTTTCCATGAATATAGGGTGAAAAGATGCCACCATATCTGGTTCCTCATGCTGCACAATGCCCAAGGTTCCCCTCGCTCTGTCAAGGATGATGTGAAACGTGATGGATCTCATTCTACCCACTGGCATTAACCTTTTTAAATGTAGCTTTGACTTAAGCAAAAGAAACACTACTTTGTGAATAAAATTGACTCAGTAAATTCACCTGTTACTATGCAGCCTCTGTTTTCTTTTCAGAATACACAAATACTTCTCCATCACCATGGTAATGACTGTACAGACACCAGAGCTCCCGGGAGAATCACCAGGATCATTCTCCTTTTGGGGCATGGCACCTGGGCTCTCCTGTGTGCAGAAGGTCTGTTGAGACATCTGTAAAATTCTCTGGTCTTCCTCTACCTCGCCTGTGCTCAAATCTAATCAGTAAGGGAGCTCAGTCCATGGCAGAGCAAAGGTGTCTGAGTCATCTGCTCAGACAGAAAGGAGCGGCTTCACAGGCACTTAGCTGTGGTTTGTTACCCAGTCTGTTGCGATTACTTGCAGGGTTTGGTAATTCACTCCAAATGTGGAGCCTCAAATTCCTCCTAAAGAAGACATCTCTTTTTTTCCCATCTCGTACGGCTGTTCTGCAGTGTGAAAGCGGCAATGTGTGTGTTCCCAGTGTCCGGCGGCAAAGGACGACCACTCAGCAAAGCGGTCAAAGCTGACACCTGAACATGCCGCATTTGCGCCGTGCACCCAAGCTGGCTCTGATTTACAGAGTCCCGAAGGCAGTAATGGCCAAGGGACGGAGTTGGATGGCTGTCGGATCCTTCACTCAGGATCCAGGAAGAGCACTGGGAGTTTCTAAGAAATCTACAGTTCATTCCTGCTTCTAAGAGCAACAAGGACTCCTTGCTAAGTCAAGTGCATTCAAGATGACTTGCCTCTTGAATTACTATACAACTTATAACATGTGGTATGGTGAACCAGAGATCTGGCTTTCCCACAGAAGCAGCTCCCCAAGGTAAATTTTATCCCTAAGAGTAAATCAGGATGAGGCCCCATGGGGTGCATGGTTCTATATTCCCAGCCATCAATCTCTTCAATGTGGAAGTATGCACTGGTAACCTGGGGGCACATGGGTAGCAAATGTGCTTTAGGAGATCTCATCAGAAAGCATCACAAACCAACAACGCATCTTAGCCTCTGTCACGTCCCCGTCACCCACAGTTCCACATCTCAAGTTAGCATCATCAGTGTAAAATCATTCTAGCGACAAGGCTTAGAGAGTGAATATAAATCTTAGAAATAGGAGTCTCCTGGGGTGCCTGGGTGGCTTAGTCGGTTAAGCGTCTGACTTTCGCTTAGGTCATGATCTCGCAGTTCGTGGGTTCGAGCCCCGCGTCGGGCTCTGTGCTGACAGCTCGGAGCCTGGAGCTACTTCAGATTCTGTGTCTCCCTCTCTCTCTGCCCCTCCCCTGTTTGTGCTTTGTTTCTGTCTCCCCCCCCCCAAAAAAAAGAGAATAAAATATAAATAAATAAATAAATAAAAGGAATAACAGTTTAAGCCATTTTCACCACTACTTTTGATGTATGAATGAGATGTGAACTTCACCCCCTCACACTGTCTTCTCTGCTAGTACAACACAAGAAGGTGCCAGTTTCCGATGAGAAATTCTGAACTGAAACACATTTGAATACCTTCCACAAATACTGCCATTGTTTTCGTCATTGTCCTTCTGCTGCTGAGTCTGAATCCATTTCTCCCACAAAGGTGGGAAGACCTGCATATCTTATTCAGGGTACGCTGGGCAATGAGACCATCTAAATGTCCTCAGGCCCTTGAAATGATCGTTTTTTTTTTTTTGTTTTTTTTTTTTAATAAATATTGCGATGATTCTTTGGTGTCATATTGAGGCGATTCTTTCAAGAGGTGTGGCTGTCACACACAGTGAATCAGGTATGACACGTAACACAGACTGATGACAATGGTACCCAAGGATGGGCTTACCTAGATGTTTCCAATCTTCGTGTGTGCAGGTAACGTCGTGGTAGAAGCTTTCTGGGAAGCAGCATGGTGCACAAATGCAGCGTTTTCACTAACACTGACTGTGCCCATGCCACACCCACGTGTGCAATAGGCGTTTCCACTGGAACCATCTATTTTGACGAATAAACCCTTCTGTAATAACTCAATAACCCCAACGTTCAACTGTGGTATTGTTCAAACATCTTAAATCTCTAGTTCTGCCAGAAAATTGCAGAAGCCTACATATCATCAAGATGAATGACGCAGGCTTCAACACCCTGAGGATCAAATTGCTTTCGGTCCCCTCCCAAAGTCACATGCTGAGGGACCCGTTAAAATGCCTTGTAATCATATGAATATTCATACTCTCCAGAGATTCCATGGTTTCTGTCAAAATACCACATGTTGGAAAGACATGATTCATCTAGAAGCCGAGTCGGATCCCTGAGCCCTGTGATTCCGTAGGGGCCACCGTATTATTAATCTCCTCCGTTTCTGAGAGATTGCTGGTGGATGCAGATGGATAGGCGAGCATTCAGCTGTCACAGAAAATTTAGCAGACAGCGGACTGCTGGGTTTTGGCTTCAATGCCCGGGTCTGCAACGCCGGGGAGGGCTGTCCCATCCTGCAATGGCTGCTCACTTGCTTATAAAACGCGGCGAGGTTAACCCATGTGGTAAGAGCTTTGTCAACCATGCGGACTGTGGCCCATTCTTGACTTAGGACACTAAGTGAGTGTCACAGCCACTTTTTAAAAAATAATATACAACAGTGGCGCCTGAGTGGCTCACATGGTTCAAGCATCCGACTTCAGCTCAGGTCATTTTCTCTTAGTTCGTGAGTTCGAGCTCCGCATTGGGTTCTATGCTGACAGCTCATAGCCTGGAGCCTGCCTTGGATTCTGTGTGTGTGTCTCTCTCTACCCCTCCTCTGCTCACACTCTGTCTCTCTTTCTCTCTCAAAAACAAACAGATGTTAAAAAATTAAAAAAAAAAAATAACACACTACGGGGGCACCTAGGTGGTCGTCAGTTGAGTGTGTGACTTCGCCTCAGGTTGTGATCTCGCAGTTCGTGAGTTCGAGCCCCCACATCAGGGCCCACTGCCGTCAGCAGAGTCCACTTCAGATCCTCTGTCCCCCTGTCTCTGTGTCCCTCCCCCAACTCACACTTTCTCTCTCAATATATAAAACTTTACCAAAAAAAACCCTCAACAGAATAAGATGCAAAATATGAGAAGTGATAACTCCGTTAAAAAAAAAATCATTTCAAGAAGCTTGTTTCAATTAATAAACTAAGTAGAACTTAGTGGATGATGATGTAAAATATATGCCTTATAAAAGTTCTAAAACTCTTGCATTATGGGGCACCTGGGTGGCTCAGTCTGTTACGCGTCTGACTTCAGCTCAGGTCATGATTTCGCAGTTTTTGATTTCAAGCCCCGCCTCCAGCTCTGTGCTGACAGCTCAGAGCCTCGAGCCTGCTTCAGATTCAGCATCTCCCTCTCTCTGCCCTCCCCTGCTCATTCTCTCTCTCTCTCTCAAAAATAAACATTAAAAAAATCAAAATTTTTGCACTAGATCACAAGTCAGCACCCCCTTCTAGAAAAATCTAGGGGCAAAACAACAACTGTAGCTTTTGTCCCTAAAGGCAAAACCCCACCGACGCTCGCGTACTTCCCGCGGTCCTAGGAGACAGTGGTTGAGTCTCTCAGGGAGCGTGTTAAGCGGAGGTGCGGCCCGCACTGCTCAGCAGCGCTCCCAGGAGGGGAGGTTCAGGTTTAACAGCACCCTCGGTTCTTGTAACAGAGTCTGAGCAGTCACCGCTCCGGCTCTACAGGCCAGCTGGCTTACGACGGTTTCTCTGCGAGCAGGTGTTTAGGACAAACGCACAAGAGCATGCCCACCAGTTTAGAGTGTTCCCCCTTCTGTCCAAACCCGTGTATGACCTTCCTCCTGCTGCTGTGCTAACACCAAATCTCTGCAGTCTCTGCTGCCTGAGCTACACAGGCTCTGAACACGTGCGCGTGGCCGGTGACCACCCAGAGGCGAGACGGGTGGTTTTCAGAGGAAATGTCCACTTTTCTCAGGGTGCCTGGTTGGCTCCATCGGTTAAGTGTCTGCCTTTGGCTCAGGTCACGATCTCACAGTTCATGGGTTTGAGCCCTGTGTCGGGCTCTGTGCTGATGGAGTGGAGCCTTCTTGGGATTCTCTATCTCCCCCTGTCTCTGCCCTTCCCTCTGTCTCTCCCTGTCTCTCAAAATAAATCAATAAACTTGAAAGAGAAAAAAAGAAATATGCACTTTTCTCTAAAGTTACATACGGGACAGAACGGTTGTTTTCGAAAGCAGGTGTTCCGGATACAGTCGCGGCTCAGGAACGCCGTCGACCCTCCCTGGATGGTGACTGCCCTTGCTGACTGCAACCCTTAACACTATGCGCTAACGGGGTCCTCCCAGACCTAAATGTGATGGTCACCTTCACCCATTCTCCTCACTGTTGTTTTGCTCAGAAATTTGCATGGGGGGGGTTCCCCATGTCGTTTGTGTTGCAAGGACATCTATGCTTACACAGTGCACACTTGAAGAGGAATGCCCCGGTGATACCTTAAAGCCCCTTTTGTCATGTGGTACACCTTTCCGGGCAGGGCACCAGAAGCACAGGACAGGAGGGATATGCGCGGAGCCACTCTGGCGAGAGCCTACCCCACTGCACTTGCTATCACGCACCACTCTGCTTTCCACATCCCTCCTCCCGGACTGGCTGGAGAAATCTCGTCTACATGGAAGGGGAGACGTGGCTGGAAGGACCACCTGTCTTTCCAGCCAGTACAGAAATAACCAAGCACTACACTTCACTGACAGCAATGTCAGGATAAGAGGTGATACCGACCGTCGTATGAACTGGGCCGCGTCCGCCACCAGCCTCTGCGTGAGGTTGTCGTAGGAGATGGGCTGCTGGCTTATCTCATGGTTCCTCATCAGGAAGCAGTTCAGGGGCCGGAAGTAATGCAGGAAGCACACGAGGAAGCCCAGGATCATGGCGGCCAGGCAGAGAAGGCAGAAGAAGACCGCGGGGGGCACATGGGCCAGCCCCAGGTACTTAAGCACCGCCAAGGTGAGGAGAGTGATCGCTATGATTTGGAGGGGGATGAACACCAGCATCCTGATGCCCCTGGTGAAGACGCTGCCTTCTCCGGGCTTGCAGTCCCTGAGGTTGGTCACAGGGATCCCATGGAAATAGTCAAAGCCGTGGCTCAACGGGTGGTGACAAAAGTCGGTTTTGTTGTGACAGTTCGTCCCAAGGTGCCACTTCCCTGAGAAGGAAGTGGGTGATACGTTTAGACCCAAGGAACACCCTGACCGGAACGTCAGCTTCTGATTCCCACTCGGTGAAAAGTGGGATCGCTCTGCACATTTATGAGCCAAATGCCTACCATTCTGTAGAAGCACGGTTTTCACTTCCTTGTCCACAAACAACAGGATGTTCACTACTCGCTCTACCAGAAAACAGTAACTTATTTAACAACAACAGAAAACCCAAGAGACAAACACCTAACATATTTAACAGGTGGGTGACAGAGATACACAGAAGTGATTTTTAAAGACGTTTCCTTATAATTAAAGTCATAAAACCAACTTGGTTTGTTCCTTGAATGTTAAAAGTGCAAATGCATCCTTTCTCAGAAAGGTACACCTGAAGCATAAGGAAATCACACTCAGAACTCAGCAATTATTTTAAACATCTATGACATTTCTTATAAAATGTTAATTATACCACTAAATTAGTGAGTGCCTCACAAAAGAAAAACATCATGATGGTTTTATGACAAGAGTAGGAGGGAAGACAATGGCCATTTTGCTTCTATGAGATATTTTGGGATCCATCTGATGACCCACATAGACCTAAGCTTATCAACTAAAAAGGGAGAATGTATTACTCCTAACTACTGAATAAAATCAAGGACAAGTGAGACAAAGTCTGACATAATTTTATCACTAATATATAAAATTAAAATGTTCAATAGCATGGTGTATATATGCAGTTTTGTATGCTGTGGGGCTTTGTATAATTATCGATTTATCAATCTATCACCTATCATCTGTTTCATCTCTGTATCTCATCTGTAAATCCATTATCTATCCATCCACCCATTACCCATCCATTGATCCAACATCCATCCACTCATCATCCATCTATCCACCAATTATCCATCCATTCAACATCCATCCATCTAACCATCTTCCATCATTCACCCATCCACCCATCATCCACCCATCATCCACCCATCCATCCATCATGCATCTATCCATCAACCCATTATCCATCCATTCAACATCCATGCATCTACCCACCCACCCATTATCCATCTATCATCCACATCCATTACCTATCCATCTATTGTCCATTATCTATCCATCATCCATCCATGTATCCATCCATCATTCATCCATCCATAGTTCATCTGTCCATCATCCACTTCATCTGTTGATCTATCCATCCCTACCTCTGTCACCTATCTTTCCATTTATCCATACATCCAACAGTCCATGTATCTATCATTATCTCTATCCATCTATCTATCATCTATCTATATTTATCTACCTATCCATCCATACACACACATATACTCACACACACTGACCATATCTTTATATTCAAATAGCTCCGATAGGTGCATTGCATTTTAATTTAAATGGAAATCATTTGTTCCCTGTCTGAAGTCGTACAAACTGTATGCATGATGTCATCCTTAAGAAGGCAGTCATCATGCCTGGTCCCACTCACCCTGCCCAGGCCCTCAACTCCCCTCCAAAGCTGCCCATACCTATCAGAGCTGTTGCATAGCCTTGATCCTTGAGAAGCTTGGCAAAGGTAATCTCACTGGTGGGAAGTCCTCCGGATGAGGCCGAGAAGAGAAACACACCCACGAGGGTCTCAGATGCCATTCCTGAAGCAGGAGAAATGAGCACTGAAAGAGGAGGCCTCCTCCTCCGGGAGGCCCTCAGGAGGACAGCAGCCGTGGCCATGGTGCACGGAGGTTACCTGATCGGACGGGGTACCGGCCTGTCATGAAGGCCGCCCTGCTCGGCGTGCACAGGGGCGACGCTGCCAGGTGTTGCGTGAGCTTCACCCCTCCTCCAGCCAACCGGTCAATGTTGGGAGTCCTACAACAGAAGACTCACGTCATTTGTGATGACCCAGAAATGTGCAGCCTCCGCTGTGGCTTCTTGCAGTGCGCCACCTCTCCATCACCCAGGGAAACCCCTGGGGGACACACGAGGCCAGACCAACTGTCCCAGGGCTTCTGCTCTGCGAACGGACCGGCTGGCCCTGTCAGGGCGTCGCTGCACATGCACTAGGCACGCAGTCCTAGGGCCGCGCTGAGCTCTCCTCCCACGTTGTCCACTGGGAACGCAGCCCCTGCCTCTCGGCCAGCCTGGCCACCTTCCGCCCTGCAGATCCTGGCACAGATGGGATTCTCCCAGGCCTCCTGGGACCAAGCTTGTCCCTAAGGGGGTCTGATGCGTGCGTGGGACACAGATCCTGCCACAGCAGCTTGCTCACCACAAAGGGACAGCTCAGCTGACTGTGCTCATGACTACACCGCAGGGTAACACACATCTTGCTTGTCGTGGCCCACGGCCCCCTGCTCCGGTGCCCACACAGAATAGCCCTCGGTGACGCACAGCATCAAGGGGACAGTCATCTCCTCGCAGTGCTACAGGCAACAGGCTCCCCCACCCATGAATTTAGTGTGCACGTTGGATAGTCAACGTCTCTACTGTGCTTCTGTCTTCAGTCAAGGGTTTAGAAGATTCAGAAGAGCTGAGTCTGTGTACCTGACTTAAACCTCCCCGTGCCTAGACGGGCCCACCATGAAATCTGACTGGTTTGGCGTGAGTGTATAAAATAGAAAACAAGAAATGTAATGCATAAAGAACTGGAATCGAATATGGAAGAAGACAGATCTGGGGGACATGGTGACATGAATTCTTCATTATGATTTTATACACTTTTGTTTTTTCTTTTGAGATTGGGTAGAAATGGAACCTTAAGGCTTGGGTGTAATTTTCTAATTAAGACACCTGAATATAAACAATTATGTATTCTCTCCGTGAACTTCAGGAATACATATATATATATATTTTTTTAGGAATGTTCATAGCAACTTTATTTATAGTCACGATAAATTAAAAACAACCCTAGTAAATAAATAAACTGTGGCATATCCATACTTTGGGATACTACTCAACAATAAAAAAATATGGAACGCTTCACGAATTTGCGTGTCATCCTTGCGCAGGGGCCATGCTAATCTTCTCTGTATCGTTCCAATTTTAGTATATGTGCTGCCAAAGCGAGCACAATACATACATTTTTTAATGTTTATTTGAGACTGGAGGGGCAGAGAGAGAGAGAGAATCTCAAGCAGGCTCCACACTGTCCTCACAGAGCCTGATGTGGAGTTTGATCTCATGAATTGTGAGATCAGAACCTGAGCTAAATACAAGAGTCAGGCGCTAAACTCACTGAGCTACCCAGGCACCCAAGGAATACATATCACATTAAAAATAATAAATCAAAAATTTTAAATGAATACATATTATGATCCTGATAAGAAAAAGGAAATTAATAACAAGAGATGTATGGTGAGTGGCAAAAAGTAAGATCTATGCTTTTTTTTTTTTTTAACAAAACGGGGCTAATGGTGGGGTGGAAAACTTATGTGTTCAACTGAAATCTCATCCTCGTCCATGTGTTTAAAAGTCTAACAAATGTCACAGGGAAGCACACAGCTTAAAACAACAAGCAGCATCGGGGTGCCTGGGTGGTTCACTCAGTTAAGCATTTGACTCCTGGTTTCGGCTCAGGTCATGATCTCACAGTTTGTGAGACTGAGCCCCACGTCGTGCTCTGTGCTGACAGTGTGGGGCCTGCTTGGGACTCTGTCTTCTCTCTCAAAAATAAATAATCGTAAAGAAAATTATTAAAAAATAAATAAGTAAAATAAAATCTGAATGACAGAGGGGTACGTGAGTGGCTCAGTCACTTAACTCAGTCAGTTAAGCATCAGAGTCATGATTTTGACTCGGGTCATGATCTCACTGTCTGCTGGTTCAAGTCCCACATCGGTCTCTGTGCTGACGGTTTGGGGCCTGCTTGGGATTCTCTCTCTCTCTCTCTCTGTCTCTCTCTCTCTCTGTGTCTCGAAAATAACTAAACATTAAAAAAACAACATAAAACAAGCAGCATCTGATACAAAGTTTTGGGGTGGGACCAAGGCATGCCTGGTTATGCCTCTTGCACAATGGTTTCCCGTCATAAGAAGAGCTCAGAGCCCATCTGGTTGATGTGACGCATCACAGTGAAACACCCCTCCACGCGGCGGTGTCATGCTGAAGAGACGATGAGGAGGCAGAGGGATGGCGAGGAAGTACATCAGTCTCCCGTGGCACTGACCAACGCGCCCACCCCCGGGTCCACACAGTCACTATTCATGGATCTTATGAGAAGGTTCTATGAAAGCACATGATCTCCTTCCCCATCTCGTGTGATTCCGTTTGTACTGACCGTTGGTAAGAGGAAGCTCAGGGCCATTCTATGTGACTGTTTCATCACTATTATAATGAGAAAATGCTGCCTTGATGCCAATATTCTATTACTTAAGGGCCGACTTCCTTTCTTAAGCCAAAGGGCCCTTAGAATAGGTGTTACGTGAACCCAGTGTCACGCAGGGGGCTGAGAAACCAAATGGCCTCATCTGTCCCTGACTCTGGTCCCCACTGTCCTTCTACCATCAATGATCCCTGACCCTTGGAAGGTTCCGGAGTCATTCAACCTGACACGTGCCTCTGGGGCACCTGTCCTGGCCAGGGTGGCTGGTGACTGTGGAGACAAAATAAGCTGGGATGAGGGCAGAGGGGACACCCTTGGGAACAAACCCAGGTAGCAGACAGAGAAGAGAAGATAAAGAGGCGAGCCGACGTGAGGAGGGGACGGAGGACGTGCCAAAGCAGGGTAGGATCACTGAGTCGGTCAGTCATTAGGAGGATCTTTCTAGTGGTCACACGTGTTCAACACATGAAGCATCTGCCTGTGTCCACGAGAAGTCGCACGTGAATGCACGTGCCATGAGGGGGTGGTGTGTGCACTCTGTCCTGTGTCCACGTCGCTGGGGACCGCTGCCTACGAGCAGGCCCAGGCATTCACACGCACCTGCGTCACCTCACCTGAGTGTCTTGTTTCCGTAGCATCCCACATCTCCGATGCCGAGGTCATCGGCCAGCAGCAGGACAAAGTTGGGCCTTGTGGCTGCATGGCTCTGGGCCGCACTCAGGAAAGACAGCAGAAGCAGGTGGAGCCTCATCTTCCTGCAGAGGGAAGGACACAGACAGAAGTGAGGGGCGCCAGCGTGCAATGGGCCGTCTCCTTTTTGGGACCTTCTCCCAACCTGGCAGCCCCAGGCCATTTGTGCTGCAAGAACACACTAAGACACTGGAGGGCAAGAAACTTTATTCTCTCTTCTCTGGGTGTTTGCTTCCAAAACAAACATTTCTGTCTCTAAGGAAAGTAACAACCTCTCACTTCTTTCTTTTTATTTAAGTTTAGGTATTTTGAGAAAGACAGAGAGAGCATGGGGGGGCGAGGGGCAGAGATACAGAGAGTTCCAAGCAGGCTCGGCAGCATCAGCTCAGAGCCTGACATGGGGCTTGAACCTATGAACTGCGAGATCACGACCTGAGTGGAAACCAAGAGTTGGACAGCTAACCAACTGAGCCACCCAGGTGCCCTGTGACCTCTTGTCTCGACTCTACGCCAAGACACAGGCTCTGCTGGGAAGAATGCAAACACCACCATCTTCTATCTCTTCTTGGCAGGTAAGCTCTGTAAGTAGCTAAAAGTTCTGATAGGTACTTCACTGAGACCCAACGGTCAATGTCCTCTCCTTTCTAATATTAGCTTTTGTTTGTTTGTTTTTAAAGGGAAAGAAGGGCAAATGTTTCAAAACTCAAGGAGCACAAGGTTCATAGCCTGGGGCAGCTCAGGGTGCAAACTCAGCCAAGGAAGGGACTGTAGCCCCGTCTTGTGACTGTCTTCACCACAGACGGTTCTGACGTCCACACCATAATCCCTGGACCTGCAGCCTCCAGAAGGAACCCGCTCACACCTGCATCTTTGCCCTGAAGACTCACTTCAGCCTTCCTATGTCTAGAACGTTAAGATACATGAATTAGTGTGCTTTTAAGACCCAGAAATGCAACGTCATCCACACAGACATGCAAACAACCCTTTGTGTGTCCATTCCTGACGCCATCTTGTGAGGCACGTGGAGCTTCCGTTTTCTGGCCCTTTCCGGGTTTGGGGATGCTAGCTTCCCTCTCCCTGCTTCTTCGTCTCCCATCGCTGTCTCCAACCTCCTAGACTGGAATCAGGGTGCCCATCCCACCTTCCACTGGAACCACAGCCCGACCCTGGGAATTAGACTCTCCTCCACAGGAGGATGTGGCTTCCCAGGTCATTCTGTTGTCTGCCTCCCTCGCTCCTCCACTCCCCGCAGTCTAGTGCTTTTGCAGCCTGACCCTGGGTCCCCGTCAGGTGAGAGGCAGACCCCAGGCAGGTGCTGTCCCAGCCATGTTGTTCGACAGGCCCGGTGGGTGCCAGGGAGCATGCAGGAGATGCATCACAGCCCCCAGTCATGGCCAACATCCATGTCCTTTGTGATCCCTCCTCTCTGAACATACTCCCTGACGTATCGCAGCATTTGTGAGTCAGCAAATGCATACCCAGTGAACAGCAACTCTGGAGGCTGTACAACTGGAAGCATGCTCTCTCTCCTCCCTGCGCTGTGGGCACCATGGAGGCAGAGGCTGATGGGCGAGCATCCAAGAAAACCACGTGACATGGAGCACTGACGTTTACTCTGTTGACTTCAAATGCCTCACTCCTAACTCCACTGGATGGTGGGTTAGTAAGGACACTACACTGTGTTTTAGACGGTTGGAAGGTTCGATGGGCAAGAGAAGGATTTGCAAAGGAGCACCCATCTGTGGATAAAAAGCCTGACATACAGTTGAGCTTCTCAAGAGTACTGGAGACACCCTACTGGGTGTAATGCCCAGGAAACGCCTTGCGGTCGCACGTCAGGGGTCCCTGAGTGGATTTAATGCTTTGCAAATCCGGAACTAAAACCAGCGATGGATAAAGGAGCAGCTCCCTAACTTCCTGCCCCCACAACAAAGCAACGTGGGGCCTTCCCGCCAGAGAGGGTGAGAAAACCACAACACCGCACATGTGCGCTAACTGCTCAGTGCTTTCATGCTTCCTTTCACCTAGACACAAACACACACAACTTCTTATTCGGAACCGCACTTCTGTGAGTGCTTGTGCGCAGTGTAAGCGCTCTGCCTACGCCTTTGTCAGCTCACCTATGTGAAGAAATAACAGGAGTGCATGCGCATCAGTATTAGGACTATTTCATCAGGATTAATCATTTATTGTGTAAGTAAATGATTACTGATTATTGCCTCCTCCCTGTTATGAACAGGGTCCCCGGCCCTGATGTCACTGGCATCCTTGCTGGGGGCTCACTGGTCCCTGGAGGGCACACAGCTGCACCCCGGCCTTGCGCACTCACTGCCGGCAGCAACAGGGCCCCGGTGGAGAGAGGCTGACCCATGACCACCTGCCGCGCGTACCCCCCCCATATGTCAAATCACCAGCCCGTCTCTGCCTCCTGCATCTGCCCCTCATGGCCCGTGCTCTCCTGTGTGCACTGCTCAGCTTCTACATAAGGATTCGGAAGTGGCCACCCGTCTGGGTGACGGCGACTTTCTCCCCAGCATGAATTCAGCCTCTTTGTCGGCACTTCCGTGTGTCAAACGGGGACGGCCATAACAATAGCTTGTCAGTGCCCTGGAGAAGATAAAATTACACGCTGAGTGCTATGAATCCATAAGGGAGCCTTCAGTAGTGGCCAGCAGTCGTTAGCGGGAGTCAGCACTCCACCATTCTTACAACTTTGCGGAGATGACAGTCAGGACAGCGACAGAGTTTGAAACGATGCAAGCGGTGACCCCCGCGGCAGCCTCCTGCTTTCCATTCCCCTCCGGGATAATCCCGTCCCCTGCTGTGGGGCTGGGCCTCCAGGCTTGCTGCTAACGAACGGAAGGTGGAACACGGAAGGCGCGTGGCATCTTTGATGAGGTTACAACACCCGATGACCTCCGTGTGGCTGCAGCCTCTTCTCCTGCTGCATTTTAAGAAGTGAGATTCCCCAACTGGAGGGACGCCCATCCGTGGTGGGCAAGTGATGGAGGCCCCCAGCCAGCAGGAAGCAAGGACCCGAGGCCCTCAGGCCGACAGCCTGCAAGAAACGAGATCTGCCCACAACCACCTGAGCAACCTCGGGAACAGATCCTTTGGATGAGACACCGTCCTGGCCAGAACGTCTACCACAACCCAGGGGCCAGCTAAGCTGTGACTGCCTACGCACTGAACCTCTGGAGATAACACGCTCACAGGCTTCGAGCTGCTGATGTTTGCCGTCATTGATTACACGGAGGCAGAAAACTCATAGAAAGTGCTATCGCCTTGGATGGGAAGTTCGGTTGTGGAATGAGGGCCTGAGAAAGCCTCTCCATGGCCAGGCTCATAGGCCATGCTGAACTTATTTTAGGAACATGCTTCATTAGCAATGGCTAGTCAGGATTTATGTAAGTAATTTAAAGATACATCGCTCAGCTCACCAACCATGTGAAAAATGAATTTTTGTTTTACATTGAAAGTTGAAAATACCAGGAATGAAAAATGTACTTCTGGTCGCCCAGAGGAATACGGTTGACAGATTAAACGAAGCAAAATCCAGGCTCCTGTGAGTCCTAAGTAATGTTTCACCAAAATAATCCATTTTTTCCCGGATTTTGTTTTGTTGTGTGTTTACTCATATTCTAAATGTACAGAAAGAAAACATAAAGCGAGCATTCAGGGAACCGGTCAGGTGATGGGACGACTTCCGTGCTTTTACTGTGTTTGTTGCGGACACGGCCGAATGCACAGCTTTCCCGCTGCCGCGTGCCATTTTCCCGTTCTTTGTTTTTCCCTGCAACAGTGGAACTACGAGCTAGAGAACAGTCTGCAGGAACAGCAGGGGTCAGAAGCGGACAGCACCGTTAGCCCACGGAGGGCACAGTGGACAGACGTGACGAACCCAATCAGGGGTCACGGGTGTGTCTGATTTGCGTTTTCTCATCATCCCGCTGCTTCATGGAGCTTGGATCTGGCAGAGGTTGGAGGAAATGTGGCCACGTGCTCATGACTCCACAGAGATGTTGGTACCCAGACATGGTGGGGGCAGGCGGGAGAGAACGGGACGGACTGGGGATGCTATTATTACAACCACGAAATTAACAGAAGATGAGGTATTGGAGACAGAGTCATCAATGAGACTTCAACCTTGCTCTCTGGGGTGATACTGGGGCAATGAGCTTTGCAGAGAAGGACGGAGACAAAAAATGTCTGGGGCTTAAGATTATGAATCTGATTGACACCAGAATCTTAACACAGTAAGGGTCCATTGTACACATGAATCTTCCCTGGGAAAAATTAGCTCCAATTTCCTGTGCAAAATTTTGCTGAGATGCCTATTAATTCAGGTGTAGGCTTTTTTTTTTTTTTTAATTAGAGTTAAACCCAATAGGATGAAAGCCCTTTAATAATTATTAATATTCATCTATATATATTCATCTATACAGTATGAATTTCTGAATCACAGAATGGGTTTGGTTAGCTCAATGTAGCATTATGTCATTAATTATACTTCCAAAATGTGCCTGCCTATGGTAGATATAGTTGGGCTTTGGGTGAGACCAATCATCTAGCCCAATTAAAAATGTTAGGAAATTTAAGTTTGTTAATAGCCATCTAGAATCTTATTGCATCTAAATTATTACTGTCTGAAGTAACCACAATATATTTGTTCCCCAAAAGCATGAATTAGAACAAGGTGTTTATAAAGATGTTTCAAACTGTTGAAACACAGTTGACAAAAAGTACTTTAAAAAGAAAAGAAAGTGTTCTACTCCTAAATATGAGCAAGGCACATTAATTTCTGAAAAACTGCATACGATCCCCCCTTAAAAATTACTTTTTGGAATAATCTTAATTTGGCAAAAAAGAAAAACTTTCATGAGGAAGCAGGTATTCCTAAAACGTAATCATTATGAAGGAGAGAGACAAAAGAACATCTTCGAAACTGCAGGTGTAATTACATTACATTCGTTCATTAAAGAAAAATTAACAATGTGCTTACATAACAGAAGCTTTACCATGGCAACAAAAATGTTCCTGATCTATTTGCTCAATGGGGAAAAAG